ACAGTATTTTCATTTGCTAGAGCTTCAACTGCATCAAGATCTACCTCCCAACCTTTCTTTGGAAGCGAGGAACGCTTCCATGATCGCCGTCGTGCCGTCGAGACAGTTTTCCCGAGCGCAGTCCACGTGGCGGCAAACGGTCTGTAAAAGGCCTCGGAAATCGTGCTTGATGGATGGACGGGAGGTCGTATACGTAGATTTTACGGGACTCGCAATCGCCGGCGTGAAAGACCGGCGAGAATTGATGGGTAGAGAGACAAACATGAGGAGCTCCGGTGATGTAGAGTACTAGGAAGACTTGGAAGAGGATGACGAGGAAGAAGAATGTGTGGTGACGTAGGGAAATGTTGGATAGAGCAGAGTTTAATGTGGGTTTGAGTTCTGGGGTGGGTTGAATTGGTTGAGATCCGGCGGGCGGTCAAGGCAAGGTTGCCGCCCGCCGGAAGGCGAAGAACACCAAGATCTTTAACCTTGCTCTGATACCATGTGAAAATTCATGTATTATTGATTGATATATATTGTTGTGTTATTGATATTACAAGGAGTCCTATTATATAGAAGAGGATTTGGGTAGTAGGTGAGGAGTAGGTGAGGGTAAATTGGTGGTAGGTGTAGTAGGTGTGGTAGTAGGTGGTGGTAGGTGTAGGTAAATTCTAACATGCATAAAGACCACTTCTCAACCATCTATTAATCCTTTTACTTTTTTGTTGCCTGAGAATAGTCATCAATCTAGTTACAAAGACTACAACATTATCGGTAGGTCACCCTCCTTTTATAATATTCTAATAGGCCTCTCCTTTGTAGTTTTTTGTTGTTCACTGTTTGATGTATTATTGAAGAGTATGACTGCTTGACAATGTGTTGACAATATCTAACTTTATTAAGTGTTTGAAGAAAATCTTTTTGATTATCTGATTCATTTTGAAAGATAGTTATCTTCAACTGGTGCATGATCTTTACTAGGATGGTTAAATTGTTCAAATGATCTTACAACATGAATGTAATCATGAAAATCACGGAACTATCATTTCATCCTGTCTAAATTAATGTGCTGTCCTGGCCCTAATAGAAAAAAAATCTACGTTTACATGCTTTTAGTGACTATTTAAATGCATGTTAATGTCAATGCTTGAAAGTTATTGCATGATAACACAAGAGACACAGTGAAGATTATGTAACCTGAAGGCACATTAATAAGTATGCATTAGTTAGATAGTAGTGCTGCCATATTGAGTATGTGATGCAGGACAGCGCTGTAAGAGCTGTTCTGGGGCAGTGAAAGTACCCGTGAGTAGTGTTTGGGCTGTTAAAGTGCAGAAAATAAAAGAGGGAAAGAAGGAGAATGCGAAGATAAGTCTAGGAATCACTCCTAGAATTCCTTAGACATCACACAATCCATAAAGAAACTTTAAAAGTTCTAAAATTCTCTAACATATCAAGTCTATTGAATTAATTGCATTACATGACTTTTTATAGAACTAAGAGACTTCCTAAACCAACTAGAACAAAAAAAAGAAAACTATTATAATATTTTAGACTTCCAAAACTAATTTAAGTCCAAATAAGAAATATAAATAAAACCTAATTAAATAACTTGACCCACACGACAACCCATGGCGACCCGTATAACCCATGCCTAGAAATTACCAAAATACCCTTAACCTAAAAATCCTACAAAACATAAAAATAATCATAAAATAATACTCTAATTATACTAGAAACATAATTATATAAAATTCCTATCAGTTTCTGTATGAAATCATGCCAATGTCCAAGTATCATCACTTCTCTGAATTTAGCTTTCCTTGAGCTTCTTATACTCTGCAGCATTCTCCCTTGGTTGGATAAAACTTGACCTAGAGTTTTGAAGTGTTGAAGTATAAGCATCCACAAGCTTCAAAATTGCATCCACAACTTCATATTAAAATCTTTAAGTTGTTGCCGGCTTTTCTTTGTTGGAGATAGGAACAAAAATTTTGAGAAATTGATATTATCCTTCATAATACTAAATATGTTAGGAATGACAAAATCAATAGAAGGAATTGAAACATTCTTGAATTGATCAAAATCTTGGGCTGCAAAATTCATTCTGTGCATTTTGTTCTTGTTTGGCTCTGTTGGAGAGAAGTTAAGCAGCAAATTGGTGACTTGTAAGGCCTTATTAGGGTCAGCATCAACAACTTGTTGCTGTAATTCTTCAATCCCTACATTTTGTGTGGCCTCCGAATCTTCTATTTGGACAATATCCAGAACTCTAGGCTCCAAAGACAACTCTCTTGGCTCTAAATTGGGCTCAGCCAGTAACTTATTAACATCTAAAGACAAATTTGGTTTTGGACCAACAACTTGTTCTTGAGACTCTTGAACAACAATTTTTATAGGTGATTGTTGGATTTCTTCTGAATCATCAATAACTGCTTTTTCATTCTTCAAAATTTGGTCATCTTTCCCCATGGAAAAAGTTTGCTTGTCATTCACAAAATCTATTTTGGAACACATAGGATTTGGATTGACGAATTTCTTCAAAGTTGGTGTCCCTTGGGGTGTTTTTGGTTCATCAATCAGATTATTTTTTCCTCTTATAATCTGACTATTTACGACCTTTTGTTGGGCTGCTCGTCTTTCTGAAGAATTAAGCCGAACTTGAAAACTATCTAACTGCTCCACAATTTTAAAAAGAATTTGATCTCTTTGGTTTTCAAAAAATATTCCCCGTCCGAGATGTTCTAGGATGTGTAGACATGTTTCGGAACTTCCACAAAACAATAGGATCTTTTGCTCTGATACCAAAATTAATGCAGGACAGCGCTGTAAGAGCTGTTCTGCGGCAGTGAAAGTACCCGTGAATAGAGTTTGGGCTGTTAAAGTGCAGAAAATAAAAGAGGGAAAGGGGAAGGAGATAAGTCTAGGAATCACTCCTAGAATTCCTTAGGCAACACACCTAGGGTTTGATTGCATCACACAATCCCTAAAGAAACTTTAAAAGCTCTAAAATTCTCTAACATATCAAGTCTATTGAATTAATTGCATTACATGGCTTTATATAGGACTAAGGCCTCGTTTGGTAAGAGGCTATTTTAGCCAATTAGCCAAAAAGTTACTAAATTAGCCAAAAAGCCAACAATTCATACCAAAAAGTCAAAGATTCTCTTTTCTCTCTACTTTTTGCACATTTTTTCGTAATTAGCCAAAAAGTCATCCCAAACATACAAGTTTTTTTTACCTACCCTTTTAGCCAAATAGCCAAAAAGTTACTAAATTAGCCTGTTCCCAAACGAGGCCTAAGAGATTTCTTAAACCAACTAGAACAAAAAAATAGAAAACTATTATAATATTTTAGACTTCCAAAACTAATTTAAGACCAAATAAGAAATATAAATAAAACATAATTAAATAACTTGACCAACACAACGACCCATGGCGACCTGTATAACCCATGTCCAGAAATTACCAAAATACCCTTGACCTAAAAATCCTAGAAAACATAAAAATAACCATAAAATAATACTCTTATAATGCTAAAAACATAATTATATAAAATTCCTATCAGTTTTTGTATGAAATTATGCCAATGTCCAAGTATCATCACTTCTCTGAATTTAGCCTTCCTTGAACTTTTTATACTCTGCATCAGTAGCTAATACTGTTTTATAAAGATTCTCTTATAACTACCTCAATGCCGGTGCTACTAGTTATCTCAGGGGAGCTCAATTGAAACAAAGCCTTGTCTTGTTGTATTGTATGGTGTTGGGACATGAATCTTGCTTTGTTATTTTGCTCTATCAAAGACCACTTCAATTAGACTAGATACTGTAATGCCCTTCCTTACTATCTAAATGCCCATTCAGTTTTGGTCTTCTCCTCCCCTAGCATTATTTTCAATGTAAGAAAGATCATTGTACCTTGTAGGGTAGAGTTATTGGTTTTTGTTCCACCTAGGCTTGACCAATCCTAGTAAATATTTCTTTCATTTTATCTCTAACAGCTGCTATTGCTATTATCTCACTAACTTGTCCATTCCTACTGAAATCATGGAGGTGGACACATTTGTGCCTAGAGGAGGAAAATAGTCCAAACTCAAACAAATTACCAATTAAAATTTACCTATTGAATTATTAATTCAGTTAGTCAATCTCAAGATAGATCAACTATGCATAAGCCATCCACGAAGTATCGTAGTAAATAAATCAAGATAATAAACCCAGCTATATATGTGGGGGAACAATCTCTTTGGGTAAAAAACCACTATTGGAATGTGTCCCACATCGCTTGGAGTTGCCTCATCTGTGCAGGTTATAAGACTCCAGTTTCCTTTTCCTTAATACATGGGTTTTAAGGAGAAGTGTGGGCTGAGTTTTTCAATTTGGTATCAGAGCTTGGTTGGGCCTATGACTGGTGTGTCATTTGTCCGGCTACTATATGTTTTGGTCCAGGAGGGTGTATTGGAATGCGTCTCACATCACCTGAAGTTGCCCCATCTATGATGGTTATAAGGCTCCAGTTTCTCTCTCCTTAATACTTGGATTTTAAGGAGAAGTGTAAGCTGGGCTTTTCAATTACCACAGCACCCTTGCCGAGCAAAAAATCTACTAGATCAATGATTTAATACAAACAGTCAAGTAAACGACAACCCAACCTTGGATTTGTTAGCTTTGATGTCTTCCCCTTTAAGCATGCAAGACCGAACTCCACTTGCAAGTAGCTCATCTGTGAAGAAATGATCCTTGTAATTTGAGTAGCTGAATCAACTCAAATGAGCTAAATATATGCTAAGGGCCATCATGGTAAATGTCATGATAAAGCAATGATTTTGTCTAGCACCCAAAGTGGCTCACATGCACCCTTGGACCAGAGCCAACTATTAAATTAATGGAATTTCGTTCTACTCTTGCAAGAACTTATCTCACTCTGTATATTAAATATATCCCTTCAACTCAAAATGGATTGAGAAAAATTTACATCTTCAACAAAATTTCTTTCATGCTGAAATATTCATGTAGGTGGAAGATCTTACTCGCAAATCTCAACATCTAGAAGCAGAACTTGAAAGAACATCACGGCAGTTGAAAGAAGCAACTATGCTAGCCAGGGAGGAAGCGGACAAAAACAGAGTTGCAGATGAAGTAATCAAATCTCTAACCAAGCAGGTGAACGAATATTGCGATTCAATAAATGTGTCTTTGTTTGAACTTTGAGCTTTACATGATCCGTCAAGTTGAGGTTTTCATAAGAACTATCTCCTTTATAATTATGTGAACTTGATAGATTGACAGCTAAAGTAGGTTTAACTTTCAGGATTTGGAGTTGTAAACTGCTAAACTAGTCATTTCTGAAGTCTCATGTGTCAGAGCACATGCAAATGTCTACGGAAACTGCATGTATTAGGCAGTGTGTTGCAACGTTGTGTCCATAAGGCCAAGGTGTTAAAAAAACATAATTGCACAAATCAACTAATAACTGATCAATAGTAACTGATATGTTCGTTACATCATATGAGGAGTTTCACTTCAAATGGGTGTATCCAGCCAATCTTTTTTTTTTTTTTGATAAATAAATATCCAGCCAATCTTTTGACTTCTCATAATTTCTCATATTATGGAAAGAGTTCCATCAGTACTGAAAAGAGGTCGCGAGTCAGGACAATGGCAAGTGTTATCTGTCCCCAACATTGTGGCACAGGTTTGAGTCACAGGAATTATTAGAGTCAAGAGAATCAGCCTCTCCACAAAAAGTGGAGTCTGACTCCTCTATGGTTAATTTCTGCAGTAAATCATAAAGCAAGTTTTTTATTGATCAATTAATTATGAACATGAGTAGGCATAAGATTTGGAACAAGGAAATACATGGTTATACATACACTTGCATTTTGTTATTGTCTAAACCATTACGTGAACCAATTAACTACTTACTTTATAAATGCACAATTTAACTTTTAGAAGACCCAGATTCCAAAAAGTGGCGGTAAGGCTGCGTACCTACTACCTCCCTTCACCCTGTTAACTGCTATAGGGGAGAGCCTTGTGCATTGAGTACAACCTTTTTAATTCCACTAGTTTTAGACCTTAAAAACTTTCATGCATTTCATAAAAATGGCTGTTCAAACTAAAAAACTCATTATTTGAACAGATCACCAACCCCATATCAATCTCCCCTTCCTGTTGAAGAAAGATTAAATTGTTAAAAATATCAGAATATGTGGATTTCTCATGATTTGTGCTTATCATGAATTTTGTATCTTTGATTTATTTCAGTCCCTAAAGTGAAATGATTTGATTGTGTCTCCCACTCTATATATATGGTGTATCATGGAAAAAAGGGTATCAAGTTGAGTGAATGAAATATTTATCAAAAAATAAAAATAAAAATAAAAATTGAGTGAATGAAAGATGTAGCCCCCTAGGGCTTTGTGTGTGTGCATTTAGGCCAATATTGGCCGAACCACATTAAACATTTGTGTTCTTTCTTTTCTCTTTTCTATCCATATTCAACTTTATTGCCTTATTACAAAATTCAACTTCGATAGTTCCTTTTCTTTTATCCTTTTCATTTTTATTTGTTCTATCATTATATGCTTGCTAAATCAGATGCATTCTTGAATAGGTGATCCATCTTTGAACTACAAGTGCATACATTTTTTTGCACACTCTATACCAATATGTCTCCTTAAATATTTTGTTAGGTGTGATGATGTATTATTAAAAATTTTGCAGCATCCGACAATCCATACCATGATGCAATTCTTCTACAGGGCCATTTGGTAAAACTTAAATTCAGCTTAAAGCAGCTTTTAGCTTAAATTAAGTTAGATTGGTGTGTTTGGTACAGATTATGGGGATAGATTATGGCTTATTTTAATAGTAATTTCTTGTATTTTTATTGCTTTAATAGTAATTTCTTGTATTTTTATTGCAATAAACATTTTTTTGTTTCCTTTTCAACTCAATATTATTACAAAAAACATTTAAAAAATAAAAAAAAAAAGTAAGAAAATAAATTTGAGGTCATGAAATGTACGAAATTAGGTACTAATTAATCAACTTCCATTAATGAAATAACTTTTTCACAATTTAAAGAAAAGAAAATGACAATTAAAAATTTTCTGTTCATAAGGGCAAAAAGGACAATTATATAGCAAAAAGCTATTTTACAGCTTATTTACCAAACACTACTCTACTGCTTAAATCTATAATCCCACAGTTACATCAAACAGGTTACTAGCTTATACTCACAGCTATAAACTATAATCTGTTAAGTTATAATCTATAATCACTTTCCAACAGCTCTACCAAACGGGGCCTACATTGTATTAGGTGAAGGGGAAAGGACCAAATTAGTTTACTATTTTTTTTTTTTGGCCCCTTAAATAGTATATGATCCACTTAACAGGTTTCATTTGTTAGTCAACTATACTCGTGCTTAAGCTATTCATGCATCCTTATCTGCTGAAAAAAATTTAGTTGTTTTCAACTCAAGAAATTAGAGACTACATTAAGTGAGAACCAGACTCATATTGTGGCTTCCTTCAAAGCTAGCATGATACTTGGTTAGTCCCACAGTAATGAAATTTAAAAAATGGTCATTCAGGTTAATCTAATGTTTCCCTTAAAGTAACTAAATTTTTATATAACAAAAAGTGCTAGTATTTGCACAGAGATGAATTGCCAATGCAGCAACCTCAAAACAAAACTAGCTGCAATGCAGGGTACCAAAATAATATGAAATCGCATACTTGGTATAGTGTCAGTGCAGCCAAATGAAATGCTAATAAAGGATGATACTTGGTATAGTGTAAGTCGGGAATGCATGTTTTTTAGAATTTATTCCTTTTCTTGTATTTCAAGGTCAACAAATGATATTAACTATGTCAAAATTCAACTTTTTTTACAGCTGAAAGATATGGCTGAAAAAGTGCCTCAAGATTCTTCTCTTGGCATAAAATCAAGTTCGCTTGTTGGAACCACCTCAAGTACTCCGAGTCAATCTTCTACTGGGAGCCATATGACAAGCAATGCACATCTTGAGCCTTCCTTTGATGGCCACATTTTAATTCCAATGTTGTCCAATGGATCCGTGGGACAATCTGAAAAATCAGAGTGGGATATACATGAAAGTGGTGCGTAGTGCAAGTGCATACACAACTTGTTTCCCTCCACTAGTACGATCGCAGATGGGTTTGCTTCAGGTATTGCAAACTTTTGTCTTCTATAAACTTACTCATTACTTGCTTTGAGAATAATATCTATGACAAAAAGTAGCCTTTGACCATTCAAACTGGAATATATTAACCTAAAACAAAATTTTGAAGTAATTTTGATACTTTTGCTAGACTTCTTAAAAATAAAAATTGTGCTGTCATTTTCTTTCTAAAGAATAGTTGGACATGCGACCTTTTGAGTATCCTATTTATAATTTTGATGTTATCTGATAAGCTTGCTGATCACCAAATTGTTCCTGTTAATATCCAGTATAGTGTTGCTTCTCGAATTCTATCTGTTTTGTGGACATGCAAAGACCAACAAGGCTTTGATTATAAACAGTCTTATTATCCACGACCAATATTAAACATGGATAGACTACCTTAGCCAGGGCAATCCTAACTCGTAAGCTCCCCTTTTCTTCCTCTTGGATATGCTTCTAGAAGATTCTTGTAACCATTGTAGTTGCCACACAAGAAGTTTGATACATTCTATAACATTTAATTACTTTCCTCCCAGTGGTGGAAAAAGGTACTGATTGAAATGCCCACATTGGGTGGTGATTGGTCACAATTAAACTACTTTTGTCCATGATTCCATTTTCTATAGAAACAAGAGGAACCTTGGTTATACTTTCTTTTTTTTGTTTTGTTTTTTAATGAGAACCTTGGTTATACTTGTTTGTACAGCTCTGCCATTACCATATATTTCATGCTTACACTCGAATCTTTTATTAACATTGACAGTTGGAACCAATTTGACGAGGATCAAAGCTTGAGACAGATGGTGGGCTGTGAACAAGATCAAGATATGTGCAAAGGACATCCGTTGCATACAGCAATGTCATCAGAAAAATGGAAGCTGATAAATAGGTAATTCTTGTTTGAAAAAGAATTTTGATCACTTGATGGATCTAGAATTACCCGAAGGATCCGGGACCAACAAAAAGCCAAGAGAGGTTAGCTGGTAAAGAGAGAAATGAAGTAAGTGGTAGATAGAAAAATTGTAAATCATGTGTACATATTTCTGCTACCTATTAGAGTGAGCTCTGCAGTGTTGTACAAATTTTGGTTCCAAAATGTTATGCTTTAAGCTGTTTCAATATCTCTTTTTTTTTTTTTCGCTTGTTTGTTTTTTTAATTATTATTATCACTAATTATTTATAGTGAGCCATGATGGTAGTGCCATCAGAACTTTGGAACAGGTGATATTCATAGGTCAACAAGAGTGGAAATGTCTAAAATAATTACAATCTCATGAAATCTAGGAATTCTAGAACAAAAATGCTCCTCACTCATCTCTCTGACTCAATCTTGATATCTGTCTCTCTTCTCTCGTCTCTCTCTTACACACTCTCTCTCTCTCTAAACAACTAAAAATCTCTTTTTATACTTATATTTGGATAAAAAAAAGTATTTTTAATCATTGGATTTGAATTTTATAAAATTAGTATCATTAAAAAATATGTATGTTGCATTTAGAATGAGACTAATTTTAAATATATTTATTAAAATAATTATTTCAATTAAATAAAAATTTTGCATAATAAAAAATGAGATGTGTGTTTGGAGTAGGTATGAATTTTCAGGCAAATTACGCTTGTATGGCGGAGACCCATCTTAGAGAGCAATACTGACTCTCTTCAAAGAACCATCCCAATACAAACTCGTTCCTTCTTTCTATTTCCCAATATACCAAGCAGGGTTTTTCGGGTAGTTTCAGTTGGCGAGTTTAGTGATCCAAAGTTTCAATTTCGAGTTTTTTGAATTTTTATGATTTTGTGTGGTATTTGTTTGGCAGAGAGATGGTGTGGAGTGGTGGTAAAGTGATAGGCAGATAAATGTTTTTGTAGTGTGAATGGTGGGTTGCGCTGTGCTGTGGTGGCAGTGGTGATGGATGTGGATGTCTATTGCAAAGGGGGTGATGGAGATGAAAGAGAAATGTAAAATGAGGAAATACCATTTTCACCTCAAAATTTTCACGTGTTTTTTAATTTGACTCTTAAATTTTGATTAATATTAATTTTACATTCAAATTTTTGAATTTTTTTAATTTGACTCTTAGATTTTGATTAATATTAATTTTACATTCAAATTTTCAAAATTTTAATCAATTTAGCTCATGCCGACACATTCCGTCTTCAATTAGACCATATGTGCTAGTATGACACTAAAGTTCAATTGAAATTTTATTTTATCCTTTAAACTATATCAAAAAAAATCAATTTGCTCCCAAATTAAAAATCAATTTGCCTCTTAAACTATGCCTTAAAAATTAATTTGCCCCTCACATCAGCACATTTCATCCAATTGTAGACGGAATATGACGGCATGAGTCAAATTAATCAAAAATTTGAAAGTTTAGATGTAAAATTGATATTAATTGAAGTCTGGAGATCAAATTAAAAAATGCATGAAAGTTTAGGGGACAAACTGCTATTTTCTCAAGTAAAATATATTTTTTGCTCTTAAAAAACGATCACATGTCATTCACGTAACCAATTTTCAATTAAAATTAAGTTATCACTTGGATTAAATTAATGTAAAATTTAAAATCAAAATGGAGCAAATGGAAAAGATCAAAATCACAGAGGGCAAAGTACATGAATTATTGACCTAATTTGCTCAAAATATTCTGAAACCACTTTTTGAAAAGAAAACATTATTTGTAATCTCCAAGTGAAAATTAGGGCAAATTACATATACCCCTCGAGGTTTGGCTAAATTACAAATACCCCTGAGGTTTGAGAAATTACAAATTCCTCCTGAATGCTATATTTGCATAACAAATTAGGGGGTAATTTGTTATGAAATTTAAACCTCAGGGGGTAAATTGTTATGAAAATACAAACCTAGGGGGCGGGATGTAATTTTCAAAACCTCAAGGGTATCTGTAATTTAGCCAAACCTCAAGGGAGGTATATGTAATTTGCCCTGAAAATTATTAATCAATGCATTTGTCAAAAAGTTATTATAGATTAGTGAAAAAGTTTGTCTTTAATCATTAATACTTATAAAATTTATCATTTATTTGTACAATCTTGCTACAGACCTCTAATTAGAGGTCATTCCGTACAGCTCTAATGAGCTGTCCGGGAATTAAAAAAAAAAAACAGTGAAGTAAAAGACAAAAATAGGAGAAGAAAAAGACAAATTAGAGGTGCATTAGAGGTGTTTTTTTAGAGGTCCAAATCATTTTTCTTTTTTGTATTATTTTTAAGGAATATGGTCTGTACCCCACTGGGGTGACCGCCAGGGCCCCACTGGGGTGACCGCTAGGGCCCCAGTGGTCTCTGATTGGTCTATTTTTATTTTTTGTTTTGTTTGTTTTTTGATCCTTGAAATTTTCCCTTAAAATTAACGTAGTTATGAACTCTATTGGATGTAATGACAACTGTGTCTTGGTGTAAATGACAACTATGGCTTGCGAAATTTTTTTAATTTGACTCTTAGATTTTGATTAATATTAATTTTACATTCAAATTTTTGAATTTTTTTAATTTGACTCTTAGATTTTGATTAATATTAATTTTACATTCAAATTTTCAAAATTTTAATCAATTTAGCTCATGCCGACACATTCCGTCTTCAATCAGACTATATGTGCTAGTATGACACTAAAGTTCAATTGAAATTTTATTTTATCCTTTAAACTATATCAAAAAAAATCAATTTGCCCCCAAATTAAAAATCAATTTGCCTCTTAAACTATGCCTTAAAAATTAATTTGCCCCTCACATCAGTACATTTCGTCCAATTGTAGACGGAATGTGATGGCATGAGTCAAATTAATCAAAAATTTGAAAGTTTAGATGTAAAATTGATATTAATTGAAGTCTGGAGATCAAATTAAAAAATGCATGAAAGTTTAGGGGACAAACTGCTATTTTCTCAAGTAAAATATATTTTTTGCTCTTAAAAAACGATCACATGCCATTCACGTAACCAATTTTCAATTAAAATTAAGTTATCACTTGGATTAAATTAATGTAAAATTTAAAATCAAAATGGAGCAAATGGAAAAGATCAAAATCACAGAGGGCAAAGTACATGAATTATTGACCTAATTTGCTCAAAATATTCTGAAACCACTTTTTGAAAAGAAAACATTATTTATAATCTCCAAGTGAAAATTAGGGCAAATTACATATACCCCTCGAGGTTTGGCTAAATTACAAATACCCCCTGAGGTTTGAGAAATTATAAATTTCTCCTGAATGCTATATTTGCATAACAAATTAGGGAGTAATTTGTTATGAAATTTAAACCTCAGGGGGTAAATTGTTATGAAAATACAAACCTAAGGGGCGGGATGTAATTTTCAAAACCTCAGAGGTATCTGTAATTTAGCCAAACCTCAAGGGAGGTATATGTAATTTGCCCTGAAAATTATTAATCAGTGCATTTGTCAAAAAGTTATTATAGATTAGTGAAAAAGTTTATCTTTAATCGTTAATACTTATAAAATTTATCATTTATTTGTACAATCTTGCTACAGACCTCTAATTAGAGGTTATTCCGTACAGCTCTAATGAGCTGTCCGGGAATTAAAAAAAAAAAACAGTGAAGTAAAAGACAAAAATAGGAGAAGAAAAAGACAAATTAGAGGTGCATTAGAGGTGTTTTTTTAGAGGTCCAAATCATTTTTCTTTTTTGTATTATTTTTAAGGAATATGGTCTGTACCCCACTGGGGTGACCGCCAGGGCCCCACTGGGGTGACCGCTAGGGCCCCAGTGGTCTCTGATTGGTCTATTTTTATTTTTTGTTTTGTTTGTTTTTTGATCCTTGAAATTTTCCCTTAAAATTAACGTAGTTATGAACTCTATTGGATGTAATGGCAACTGTGTCTTGGTGTAAATGACAACTATGGCTTGCGAAAGTGTTATTTTTTTATCATTTTTTTAATGCCTAGAAAACTCTCAATGTAGGACTCTTAAGATTCACTCTTACAAACTAAACTGGAAAAAAGCTAGTCAATCTACCCAATAGTCAAATTTTTACTTAAATAGAAAGGGATTCACTTAAATAGTAAAGAATTCGAATCTTAATCTGTGAAAAAAAGAACAAATTTTCTTACTAACTAGAATGACCCATCAATGGTGCAAAAGTGTTATTTACACAAGATAGAAGTGTTTAATGTTCGTAGACAATGGTCTGCTTTAAGTAAAGTCATTCATTGCTTTTCATAGCAAAAGATTGAAAAAGAGCTCTTTATTATGCCTAGAATTGCTTTACATAGGAGATTTGAAAAGAAATTTAAAAAAGAAAAAAAAAAAATTGGTAAAATATAAATAAAATATATCTCTATTTCATCTAATTTCACATATATATATATATTTTTTTTTTCAAATCCCTTCTTAAATCTCTCAACTAAATATAGGGTAAGAGTTTACATCATAAAATTGGCTGGATTCACGACAGTCAGAGAAAAATGGAGAAAAACGACAAAATGGATTCAAACTAAATGAGTCAACTTGGTTTACTAAGTGAAATCACACATTAAATTTGTCGTTTCATGTAACTTCAACATAATAGTCACATTGGCTACATAGTTAAGGTGACACTGTGCTTTCATCTAATTTCATATATATATATATATTTTTTTTCAAATCCCTTTTTAAATCTCTCAACTAAATATAGGGTAAGAGTTTATATCATAAAATTAGCTGGATTCACGACAGTCAATGAGTAGAGAGAAAAATGGAGAAAAACGACAAAATGGATTGAAACTAAATGAGTCAACTTGGTTTACTAAGTGAAATCACACATTAAATTTGTCGTTAACTAAATGAGTCAACTTGGTTTACTAAGTGAAATCACACATTAAATTTGTCGTTTCATGTAACTTCAACATAATAGTCACATTGGCTACATAGTTAAGGTGACACTGTGCTAGCCACATTAGCTACATAGCAAAGGTGATATGATCAACTCCGCATAAAATCTGTAACGAAATAAGTCTTAGAATATATATACATATATATATATAATTGTGATTTCACTTAACATCTTCAATTTGTAATTTAAAAAATTATTATATTTTACCAGATAATTTTTGAAGTGTAAACAAAATAGTGAGAAATCATATTCTTATCAAACCAACTGTAAATTCTAAACCACCTTCGCTGTGATTTAAATGAATAGTGAGTTAACAAGGAACCATTTCCAACATGAAGATTTCACAAGCACCAAGAAAGGTAGTTGTAACCATGGAAAGTATTTTTCTACAATTTGCAATTTTTCATTCCAATGGTCAATCAATCATCCGGGCAACACATACACGAAAAGAAAGTCCAAAATTTAACTCTAAAATCTGTCCAAAATCTAGAGACGGTGAATGAATGATCACTGGTATAACGAAATCGAAGAACACCAAGGATTTGTTTACCAGAATGCCCCTCGGTGTCCTTCATAGGCAAGAATTTCTATTATTTCAGTCAGTGCTTGGGTCAACTTCATCGATGGATTCGCCAATGATTTCTTGAGCTTCTTCAAGTGCCGACTCCTTCTCATCGGCAGCGTACAGAATCTTCTTGATTGCCACAGCCATCTGCCAGTGATTTGAACACGACCATCCAGAGTAAAGAAACCGTGAAGATTGATAAGACAATAAAGCATATCAGAGTCAAAACCACGCAGAACAATCATGGAGATTGATGTATATGGAAATATGAGTCGTAAAGGCATTGTAGAAGCACAAACAAAAAAACATAGAGAAAATCTTACCGGAATATGTTCTAGCTCGGGAGTCTGACAGAGTATTTCAATATCTCGTAACTTTGCAAAATAGAAATCTCTTTCTTTTTCCAAGACATCCACAGATAGCTGAAGATCAGTGATCTGGATGGAAAGCACAAAACAAATCTCATTACAGCTTAGCATTGTTCATTGGAGTTAGACAAAACAGACTAAGATAATATCTTTCAAATTTACAGGACATCCATTAAAAAAGAGCAATGTAAAAATGAACATCATTGAGCAGTTCAATAAAGATTTGCAGGCAACATATATTAACTGCAAGACAGAACCATATCTATAAAGCCATCTTTAAGCAGGTAAACTCGTGGCTAGGGCTGTAAACGAGCTGAGTCGAGCCAAATAATAGGTTGTTTAAGCTTGGTTTGATAACAAGTTTTTGAACATATGTTTAAGCTTGAATTGTTTTCAATCTCGAATGAGCTGTTAATGAGCCGAATATTAATCGAGCTCAAGTACCTTGGTTTTTTATAGTGTAAATGTACTTATTGAGCTGAGCAATAGGTTGTTCAAACTTGGTTTGGAAGCTCAAGCTTGGCTTGTTTACATTGCAAGCCAATCGTGAACGAGCTTTTAACAAGCCAAACACGAGTAGCTTGATTTGTTTTATAACCCTACCCGTGGCATGTTGTCCAAAGCACATATCCTCCGAAATTGAATAAGACTTTTTCCATCAATTAGATATGCTCAACCACAGCAGCTTGGAGAATTAAACTTGCATGCAATTCAAAATCTAAACCAAAAAATGAAGGCACCCAAGAAATTCTAATGCCAATACCTCCTTGTTCAGAGCTTGAATCTCTCCCGAAGTAGCACCTGTTTTACCTTGCTTAGTCCCTATATCAATTGATTACCAAACAACAATGATAAGGATTGAACCTATAAATTAAAAATAAACGAAAATTTGGAAGAAGAAATTTTGTGGTACAGGCTGACCAAAAGTCTCACCAAGACCTATTCCACAACCAGAGCCAGAATTATGCAAATTGTTTGCTTGCAGTGATTTTGAGTTCTTGTAAGAACCCTTCGGATATCGTTCTTTACCACCCTTGCTTCTGCGCTCCACAGGATCATAGTTCCTGGAAGAAACCAATAAACATGTCAGAAAAAGTATAATAAATTCTGGTTGTCACTTGTCATATGAATCATGTACAAAGAATTATGGAATAAGCATCATACTCATTCATAATGCCACCATTTACAGAATCACAATAGCGTTTTAGCCATTGTAAAAATTCCAAGTTGTCCAAAGGTCGACCCTTAACTAGTCTATTGACTTCAATATGCTGCAATCAAAAAAAATTAAATTAGTTCATGCAAATAAAATTTGCAACCACATTCAAACACCTGTATAACCGACTTTGCCTATGCATGTCTAAGTCATTGTTAGTGAGAGTAAGAGCAACACCAAAATTGTGAAGCTTTTGCTCTATGTGCATTGGTGATTAGAACGCTTATCCTCAATTGTTTGGCTTCCACAAGGGCATTTAACACAGCAACGAGAACAAATAAAATAAAATAAAATAAAAGAGTAGCTTCAATTCATTTGAAGTCGTAAACTGCAAAGAGAATGATGCTCAATGTGAATGCATGCTTTTTAAGTCATTTATATGGCATCATGGTTGTGCTTGTGACAAAGGCATAGCTAGCATTGCATCACCAGATTTACCCAAAAAAAAAAATCTCATTTTTTTCCACCCACAATTACCTCAAAACTGAGACAATCAATCAATAAAATTTGAATTTGGCAAATTATCCTTTGTAAAATATTCCAATGTAACTATGGCATGCAGGGACATTTAGGAGAATGGTACCATAAATAAGGACAATTTTTTGCAGCATACGATTGGCTGGGTGGTCCAAGGAAGCATGATTAGGGGTTTAGATGTCGGCAGAGTTGGCGGTGGTTATCCACCCAAAAAGAGTTGGCGGTGGAAATTTAGTTTCAATACTTCAACATCCATTTGTAGGTGAGATGAGGAGCACCCGAGATATTTACGATGATTTCTTATTTTCTTGGAGATGGTGTCCAAAATGAAAGTGAGAATTAGAAAAGAGCAAGATTATTCATGTGGGTGAGATGCGAAATGTACTAGGCTTGACAAATGTTTAAAGGTTAGCTCTTCCCCCACAACTTATTTGGTCCTTCCTCTAGGATTTTTGTTTAAAGCTACATCTTTGTGGGATGGTGTGGTAAAAAGGTTTGCAATTTGGCTAGTTGGATGGAAGCGATAGTGTCTCTTTAAGGAAGGCAAACTTACTCGGGAAATTATTTAATAATCCCGAAACACCACGTGGTCATACTCCAAACCAATCATCAATTACTTAGCCTCCATGTTGTTCCCCATCCCCAACATAAATAGTGGGCCCCTACCCCTATCTACCAATCAAAACTTTATAGAGCACCACGTGTCCATACTCTGGGAATACTGAATAATTACCCAACTTACTCTCATTAAGAGTATTTTGGAGATGTTGAACCCCTTTTGGCGCCTTTAATAATATTTATTTATTAAAAATAATAATAATAATCATTAAGCTACTACACGAGTTTGGAATGTCTCTAAATAGGGATTTACCTTGTCAATTTTCAGTTTATTAAATACTTCTTGCAGCACTTTGTAATTCTGGATCATATCATATTCTGATTTTGCGTCAAAATTCACCTACAATAAATCACATTAGATTAGAGATTTTTATTCAACGAACAACATCAAAGAATCAGATAAATGGAACATAACGAAACAAAAGTACAGTAGTCACCTTGTGCATTGGAACAACTCCTGGATAGGTCATGTCCATCATCTGACATTGCACAGCACCGGAAGCACCCTAACACAAAATAGAATGATTATTATACAAATGAAAAGTTAATATTTCCATGCAAAAATGACGAGACCAGAATGGCACATTTTACATTATTACATCAAGTGAAACCACCATTTTAAATGACTATCAAGGTTTCTAAACCAGTTTTTGGAGTCTGTTCAAATTATGTCAAATAAATCTTTGATGGGAAACCAAATCCTAGATAAGGCTTGAAAGTCCATCTCCATTTCTCTTTTATTTTTTCTCTAAATTTGTTTTGACTTTCAAAACTCAGTATCTATAGAAATAAATATTGGCAGGGTTGTTGCCAATCTCCAACTAAATTCAGAAATCATATAGATTCAATGAGGAGATTATCCCTGCAGTTCCTTGGACATGTTAACACGTCATGTGGGGACTTTCTCATTGGTCAACCAATATTCTTGCTATAATTCCCCAAATAGCCACATCATCTCTCATTCAATTGATAAGCAATAAACGCAAACCATTACCATGGAATTTGACCTTTTATTAAGATAATAATAACTGCATTGGTAACAAACAATACAGGCCCAATACTCTTCCAATTTGCTTAAAACAACACAGACCTAATAACTATGAAAGTTGGCCACTATAACATTATTGTAAACGAAAATTACAGTAGCCTCAGAGCCTTCCTTGCTTACTATGAAGCATGGATACAAATATGAGATACAGATAAGGCGATACAACGACAAAATCAAAAAAAAAAAAAAACAAATAGGATACCAAGACTTTCCGAATAATATTCTTGAATTTATTTTAATGATTATACTCTAATAGTATGCAAAATTTATTATAATTTTACTTTAATAGTGACCAAAACTTTCCGAAAAATATCTGATATTTCACAAAATTAACATTGGATACATTTATCCGCGACTACAGAGAGATACACATATATTGCACATACATGTATATATTTGATTGAATCAAAAGAAGAAGAAAAAATGAATACAAAAAAAAAAAAAAAGAAGGTATATTTTGTGTATATATAGATATATAGATATATTTGTGTGATCATGAAACCCTAAATGTAGTATACCTCTTCAATGCGAGACAGATTGAGCTGAAGCCTGGCATTGATCCATTGAAGAATCTCATTCCTCCCCACAAAGTACGCACTGTCCATCATCCCTATATTCGAAGCCATTTCTCTTTCTCTCTCTCTCTCTGTGTGTGTGTGCAGATCAAAGATAGAGATGAGATTTCAAACAACTTTTAGAGAGAGAAAGCCAAGAGGAGACGTTATACATATATGCATTTTTAGATTGAGAAAGAGGGGGGGAATGTGTCAGAAATGTGTGAAAATATGTGGCGTGTGGCTCAGGACAAATTATTGATTCGTCATGTCACGTAATCATGCCCCCTCATTCATTATAATTTATCATACTTGTGCTAAGTTTGACATTTTTAAAATAATACATCTTTTTATATTTTTATTTTTTTTTATCATATCCTTTTTTATTTTTTCGGTACATTCTTTTATAAAAAAATAAAAAATATAATTATTTAGATCATCACAAATAATTCCTTACTAATTAATATAAATTTGTAAATCGTATCCCTCCTATCAATTACAATATCGGACCATGATCGAAGATCAACCAATAACTTCTCTTTAGAGCCAATTTGAGAACAGAACTGAAAGTTCAATTTTGACTTTGAAGTTGTTTTTCATCCCATCACCCTTGTTTTTACATGTTTTTTCAAAAAAATAAAATTAAAAAGTCAAATTTTAATTAATTTTTCAAAATAATCTTTCGTTATATTTGATTAAGAAATTTAAGAAGATATTTGGAAAAAAAAATTATATAAAATTATGTAAAATATAAATATATATTATTTTTCACCTATATTTTTTACTTTTCTTTACAAATCTCTTCCTATTTTTTTCAACATTAGGGGAGGGGTGTTAACCGCCTCTTGCTATTGACAGACAATTGTACGCCTGTTTCTTGCATTTGAGTGTAGTATGTTTTTCTGGATAAAGCCTCTTGTTTTGGTCCTGGCAATAGGGCTGTTGAACCATTTGAGGCGCACAATTTGGGTTTTATTTTAGGTTTAAAATTTGCTTCTATATTAATTAACTAATTAATAAGAAGGTAAATTGTCTCGAATTAGCAAAACAAATTGGACCGTAGTATTTAAGTCTGCAAGACTTCTCACGAATTTCATTTCAATAATTTGAATTGATTATTTTTTACATTATAATGTATTGATCATTTATAATAAACAAAAATCAAATATATTTGATAAGCATATCTATGTTATTTTATTACATTTATCTTTTAAAAAATAGTTGATTTAATTTTTAAATAATATTTGTCATTCATTCTTTTACAAATAAATGTCATAACTTAGCGTGATTATGATTATCTACTATTATCGAATTGATTTTATTTATTTTTTTATGAATAATTAATACATTATTGTCTAAAAAATAAACGAATTAAATTATCAATACGAGACTAATAGTGAAGTAAGCCCACGGACTCAAAGACCATGATCCAGTCCACCTCCTCCAACTAATAATATTAATAAGGATTTTAAAAGAGAGATTAAAAATACTAATAAATAGGAAGATAACGATGAACCGTTAAAATAATTATTTTGAAAATTTAAATATGTTTATTGTAATAACCGAAAGAGACGATTGGGAAAGGTTTGGCCGGCCTGACCAATGGAAAATTTCTTAGGCCACGTTTGGCATCTGTTTTTTTTCTTTCAATTTTTCAGTGGACTTCTTATATATAGTACATTTTTTTATTTTTTCAAGTTTTAGGGCTTCAAATCTAAAAGCCTCTAAGTATTAAAAAAAAGGGGATAAATTACACTGGCATCTTTTTAAGATTTGATTTAGTTACATTTTATTTTCTGACGTTCTAAAAATTAAATTCTCACTCTGTGGTTAATAGTCTCATTTTATAAATTCCTACTTATATAAAAGGCCATAATTCTTATAAAAAAATAGAAAAAGTTACATTGAAAAAAAAAAAAACAAAGGAAAAAATAAAAAATAAATAAGGAAGTAAAGTAAAGTAAGAAAAATAAATAAATATATGAGTTCAATATTTTTATTCATTCTAAATAATTATAATGACATGGGATTAATGTAATTTTTCAAATGTCGGAGGGTGATATATATTAAACCCAAAACTCAGGGGTACAAGTGTAATTTATCCTTAAAAAAATGGATTGTTTTTTAGTTGACTTCTTTTAATTATTATTGTTTAACTTATAATTCAAAATTATAAAATCAAAAATCAAAATTCAGTCGACGGTGATACCACAACTTATGGAGAGAGGATTTAAGGAAGGAGAAATCTCATATTGAGATACCTGGACTGTGTAATATTTAAATTATTTAAATTAGCGAAAGATAAAGTGTGTTTGCTTAATTTTATTTGTAAATATTTATTAATTAATAACACCATTGCAATGCTATTTATTTTTTAGTCAACTTCTATATATGTATTGGGAGAGATTTTTCTCCAGTTGGGATCCCAACTGGAGAGGGTTGTTAGGTCTCTGTAGGCCTATACAGAATTTGTATCGATAATTTGAATCGTTCAATATGTAAGTTTTGTCAAGTACATCATCTTTGTAAAAATCATATTGGTTAGATATCGATAGTCACTTGATCATATCACATTTATATAAATAATTTATTTTAAAAATCGTACTTATCGTTAACACAAGTATGATCTGATCAAGTGGCTATCTATATCCGATAGACCTTGTAGGGATAGAGTACTCGACGAGCCCTACAACTTAAATTGTTTAGATTATTGATACGAATTCTGTGGTGGATCCACAACAACTCAACAATACCCTCTAGCTCGATTTAAATTGGAGAAAAGCCTTCCCATATGTAATATATTTTGTACTAGTGAGATTGTTTGTACTTGAGCCACTTCATTATTCAAAAACAAATAAATAAATAAATAATTGTTAAGTTTTTTTAATTTTAACTCTCAACTATGCTACATAAAATATTTTAATATTTTATTGCTATGAAATTGTATCTTCCTAACTAGGATCAATACGACATAAAATAGCAAATAACAAAGATAAAACGAATCGAATAAATCGCACACATTAAATATATGAATATTTGCATGATTCATCCTTGCATAGGGCTACGTCTATGATTATTGTAATTTTTATAATGATTAACAAATGATACAATTCTCTACAATACAAGCGGCGCTCCCTCATTATTTTTATAAGTACAAAAATTAGGATAACACAAAAGTAACAAAAAAAATTATTAAAGTATCCAAAAAAATTCGAGCCGATGGTAATTCCCCTTGACCCTCCTTTCCTTGTGAGAAGCCCTCCAAACTCCCTATTGAATTCAGGACTCAATATACAGTACTTATTAAAGTCTAAAAGACCCAACATATATAAATATTACATTTATTCATTATTAACCCTCAGCCACTCACACAATACCTTCTCTAAAAAATAATTTGTTTTATCATACTATACTATATAGGGAAGTACTATGGTGCATGCCCTTTAAATGAAGTGCATCATATATATATTTTATAATTAAAATAAAAAAGACGACATAATAGTAATTTTTTGAGTCATAATTAAAAAAAAAAAATTTGTCAAACTAAGGGGTTGTTTGGAGTGTCTCAAATAAGTGCATTTTTTGTCTTTTGGAACTAAAAAATTGAGGAAGAAAATATAGATGTTTGGGTTAACTTTTTGACTTTTTATGAAAAAATGTGTAATAAAAAATTGTAAAAATTGGTTTGTAAGAGAAAATTAGGATTAGGAGTTGTGCAGCCGTAATTATTGACTTTTGGTGAATAGTGTTAACTTTTTAATTTTTCGAATAATTTTTTTACTTTTTAACTTTTCCTGGACATGCCAAACTTGGCCTAAATACAACATGAAGGATAACTATGGGTCATAACTAAAGAAAAAAATTAATCATAATTAAAATGAAAATGACATAACTATGAATACATATGGTACACCTTTTTTAAAGGAGTGTATATTAGAATTTCTCCACTATATATTGTAAATTAATAAACAAGCAAAGCTTATATATTTTTAGAAATAATTTTTGTTTTGTTTGTTTACTTTAGTTTTGTAGTTTGTTTATAATTTTAATGTTTAATCCTTAATTGAGGAGTGACTTCTTTGCTAACTTATGAGGTAAAAAATTAATTTATTTATGAAGAATTTTTAGATTTTTTTACAATATATATATATATATATATGCAAAAAATAACATGAATAAAAAAAGTAAAAAAATTATTTATATTTTATTTATATTTATCTTGTTTTTTTATCTCTTTTTCTTTTTTAAAATTTTTGTCTAAATTTATGATTTAAATACAATCTTAAAATATTTGTGATATGAACCACACTCAAAATAAATATAACCTATTAATGTAGTTTTTGAGTAATGTTTCTGAATATATAGTATTGTTGTTTTGTTCTTGCTTGCATTCCCATGAGAGAGAGAAATTTGCATTTGTGCAAACTGATAACTCTAAATAATCACGGACAGTGTTAGTCCAATGAGCAGGACACCGAGTGTTTTAAATATAGGGTATGGTTTCTATCCAGTCTAGGATCAGATTGGATTGTGTTGTTAGGCTTGTTGGGGTCTATCATGGGTCCCGTTTTGATATTCTGAACCGTTCAATGTGTAGAACTCGTCAAGTACTATATGCCTATAAAAAATCACGTTGATCGGATATCGATAGCTACGTGATCAAAATAGTTTTTTGTCAACCATTAATTTGTTCACCATCTAATTTTTTTAGTACGAAACTGATTTGATCATATAGCTATCGATATCCGACCAATGTGATTTTTTATAGGCATGTAGTACTCGACAAGTTCTACACATTGACGGTTCAAATTATCAAAACGAGACCCGTAATAGGCCCCTATAGGTCCAACAGCATGATTCAGTTCGATCCCAAACTGAACAGAAGCCATAACCTATAAATATAAGGCCATAAAAGAGAAGGGTCATGAACCTGTTCATTTGTATGCTTATCAATGTCTGTTTCATCATCAACTACAACTTTTTTGCATGAATGTGTAGTGTGGTTCATTATTATTATTATTATTATTATTATTATTATTATTATTATTCCTTCTTGAAGATAGGATGTCAAATCAAACTAATCAATTTTAATTTGATCAACTATCATTATTATTTAGAATTAAATAGGATAACTTCGTTCATCATGAGCAAATTTAGACAATAATAATAGATATAGCTACACTATCACTTG